CGTGTGTGGTGAAATTAATCGGAGCCCGGCTCCTCGCCGAGCCGGACTCGTGAGCCAGACTCGTACGTGTATGGGCCGCCTAAAACATCATCAGAAAATATATAAATGAAAGGATCATCAAATTATAACCAACAGAAGACGTTAGGACTAAGTAGGTTTCAGAAGCACAGAATCTGAAGTTTAAACGTAATGGTTGCCATGATATATGCATGTGGGTGATTGCGTCTGGGTTAGTACATGGATCAATGAGACAGGGGAAAGTGGTTATGCGCTGTTCACAGCAAAGCGCCATGAAAAATACGCTGTTCACAATAAAACGCTATGAACGACAACGTCCTGTTCAGTTACTGTATGGAAAAGAGGGAAATGCTCGATAGTGCCTACACTTAAAACAGTGAAAATTATGAAACAATATCTCTAGAATGAGGACGAATCCAGCTAGAACCAGCCCATATATGAAAACCAAGAGCGCTGGGAATACATCCTGTAGGCGTACGCTTGTAAATCCTTCTGTGTTACCATGGCATTTTGGTTTCTGTACAATCCAGTACTTGTATTCTCGATCCGATATCCCGGACTCCTTTAACCAACGAGCCCTGAAATACGAAGAAATATTACGTGTAAACAAATTAAACTGTGGTTTTCAAAGCATGGTCCGCGGAGCAGACGGTTAGCAGTCTTGAGTCTAGGAACGACTCATGAGCAAACAGAAAACTTTACGTCTGCTGTATTTGTAGTGGTCTGCAGAGCATAAATCAGTGAGGCTGTTATAGTTATTAGTAGTTACGTGTTATAAGTTTTAAATAAACCCAAATACCAATCCAAATCCCATGTCTAATCACTAAATCGTGACAATTCGTGACCACAAATAACAGTAAACCTGTCACTGATTTAGCGGGTTGCCATCAACAAAACTCCGACCTCCGATCTCCGACTGTCTGTCGACTGACTGGCTTTAGGTTAGGTCAGGTCAGGTCCTCGTCAGCACAATTGATTTTAGTTTCGGGTCCCGTCTTAATCCATTATCATGTTGTTCTTTATAAGACTTTACTCGTGTCTTTAAATAAGGTCTCCTCTTCGAGGAGAGGTGGGGTCTCAGCACTGCTGCTCATTCCCCCTGTAACGAGGGTGTGCCCACTGACTGGCTTTCTGTCAGTCAGGTAAATTGTTGCCGGCCCTCGAGGTCTGACCGAATGCTAACTTGCTGCTGGCTTTCGCCAGCACAGTGATTCTTGATTCAGGATACCACGGTTAAATTACTGCTGGCCTTCGCCAGCTCAGTCATTCCCGGTTTCGAATTCCTATACAAGCTATTTCAGTTTTAAATTTTATTCATTTTAGACTGCGACACGAAGAGAACATGAATAACAAATGGCCATTCATTTGGAATGAGTAGTGTGTGTCCTATATGAAGGTAGTTAGGCCTATGGTAGGGCCGTGCCATAGCTCAAGCGGTTATTCGCTGGCTTCCCACCGCGGCAGCCCGGGATCGATCCCGGGTCTGGTCAAGAGGGATTTGTGTTGGACAAAGTGGCGCTGGGGCAGGTTTTCTCCGAGTACTTCGGTTTCCCCTGCCAATATTCATTCCACCAATTGCTCCACAATCATCCTCGCCTATCATCTGGGGCTGATACAAGAGGCCAAAAGTGGCCGCAGTACAAGGGACATAGTCCCACCCCACTAGCAATAAAAAATAGGCCTATGGTATCTTCGCTTCTTGGCGAAAGAACTTATAAAAGCACAAAAGTAACGTTGAGGGCACCCTATTTCACAGCTGGAATTGAACTCGGAAACCAAAAGAACATAATTATGCGTCAAGCATTGTAATGATTTGTTTCAGATGCTAGATTTACCGTTGTCTGATGTGTTCTTTATATGGTGTACCCTTCTTCACAGCGAAAGCTAACTGGAGGGATGAAAACATCTTAATGCTCTTCAGTCTGCATTTCTCATACTCGTCGTAAGTCTCGCTGATGATTTTGAAAGCATCAGCGTCGCCATGGTATGCGTACAGTCCCTTGCTTATCTTCGCAACCCCAACCGCTGGCTTGGTGAAAGCTTCATGGTATGGCTGGGTGAAGAGATGCTTAAAGTACAGATCCTTGATTTCAGTGTCTGTTGTTTCCTGAGAAGGAAAAGATCTTATCAGAACAATTTTGCTTCTCAGTTACTTAACAGCCGGTCAAGTAACATCCTCATTTTCAGGCAACTGAAATTTCGAAGAAAGCAGTTTTCTTCATAATCACCGCCGTGAAAGCCTCAAATCTTACAACTGAAATTTCATTCATGTTTTCACCAAAGACCGCCACTAGACCTTACCTTGAGCCAGTCACCAAACTTAAATCCATTTGTTTCGATTTAATTTTATACTTCCTTCCATTATATGTAAGGAAAGTGGGCTTATGAGAACACCTGCAACTTTCAGCTTTTGAACCAACTGACGTACTTTCATAGAACCTGTTACGAACGTTATATTGCTGGACACCATCTTGAACTCGTATTTCTTACGAGTAATTTTCTAGAATTGATCAAAATTGTCTACATGACGGGTGCACTGGTCTAGTCGAGGGGGAGGCCTCTAAATATATTTATCTCAAATCCTGAAACTTTGTATGCTAATATATCTAAATAATATTACACTTTTAGGATACCAATGAGATCTCATGAGTGTCTGTGTGCCTCATTTCCCCTCTGTTAACTTTTAATGCCTGAACCAAACCTTATGAAACTTTATGAACCCGTGTGAATGGTATACAGTAAAGTTGTCCCTGCGCTTAATTAATTAAGCACTACACAATAAAGACGTACGAGGGAGTGAATGCATAGATACGTATTTTCTTGACCTTGGCACTAGCTGGAGGTGAGTAGTCAGCTTCGCGTCCCAGCCGCTGTAATCCCTGAAAAGAGCCCCCAGTACCCATTGCATAGGAGGTTGGGTGGATTCCAGAGCCGGTCTCGACAGCCCTTCCGCATCTAAATGACGTAATTAAAAAATTCTTCTCATTAGTCGGTTTGTCTGTTTGTGTATGTTGCTTGGCAACGGTTCGGCAAAATCTTAGACGCGGCAACGAATACGTACTGAACAACGGCTATGAGTATGGGTACATACAAACTGCGATATCGCCTTTGTCCCGGCGCTGTGAAATTTAATGCAATATTTTAACCGTATTCCACGTGTAAACAATAATTCAGTTTATAAAATTATAAAATATTTTCAGTTGAAATTTGAATCGATATTTTACTATGTAAGATTTGAGTTTTTCACTGCAGTGACTATGAAGAATGCCGACTTCTTGTGTTTACTAGTTTCCTTATAGCTTACATGATTTAAGCTCTGATCTGAAGTTTTTGAACAAGTTCTGCGAGAAACTAATCTCCTATTTTCTTTCGATACGATGTGAACTGTTCAGAAAACGACGCCTCCAAAATTCTTCGTTGCTGCGGGAACTTCTTTACTGAGGTGTTACCTAGCAACGATAAGGGGGTACACAGAGAGACACACAGACACACGCGCTCAGCAATTATTTTATTTTTACGTGTATTAATTGCTGTGGGAACATGTTTACCGAGCTTTTGCCTAGCAATGAAAGGAAGGATATATTTTACCGATCCTTGGCTAGCAACGATAGGAGGATATGCATACAGACACAAGAATCGTTGGGAGGGATTTATGAAGTACGCGGTTGAGATGGGCTCAGGCTGCTGTGATGTACGTACCAAGTTTCATAAAGACTGGTCAAGACATTCAAAAGTCGATAGGGCGAATACATAGATACACAGACAGCGTGGAGATCTTAGAAGCCGACTTTATTTTTTTAAATAAGGAAGTAGACCAAGAGGAAGAGAAACATATTCAGCGTTTTTGCCGGAAATAATCAGCTTTGCAATATTTAAATTAAACACCGAAAGTAAACATTCACGAAACGAAAATACAGAGGCAAGAACAGAGCAGAAGCTGAAGAACTTTCATTTCCTGGATTGTTCTCCCCACAGCCGTGACATCCTGTTGTTGCTTGTCATATTTACTGAAGGCACTGAAGATGCGGCATCATACCGCAACAGATTTCTTACTTGACAAGATGATGATGATGATGGTAGTGGTGTTGAAGAAAACACGTTTAAGTATTTTTTATTGCTTGTGGGGTGGGACTAATTCCTTTGTACTACGGCCGCTTCTGGCCTATTGTACCAGTCCCAGATGATAGGTGATTCTGATTGTGTAGCAATTGGTGGAATGAAGATTGACAGGGAAAACCGAAATACTCGGAGAAAACCTGCCCCAGCGTCACTTTGTTCACCACAAATCCCACTTGACCAGACCCGGAATCGAACCTGGGCCGCCGCGATGGGAAGCCAGCGACTAACCGCTTGAGCTATCAAGCGGCCCCACATGTGTAAGTTCCTGGAGACGCTCACGTTGTCTTTCATGACGAGTTTAATCAGACTGTCCATGAGGTTAATTAAGTAATTTGTTAGTTAAAATTACTTAGCTAGTTAACGAAGTAACAGAACTCACGTTAACATAATTCATGTTGGTGGCAAATTCGTTCATAGAAAGTGTGTACGGACTGTTCATGAGGTCCTTTAAACTGTTAATTGCTGTGCTGGTTGTCTGCAATAAGGACACTATGATGGCCGAGTAGGATGTAGTGAGGAACAGAGACAACATCAGCAGAGACAGGAATATAATCCTAGAAGACAGACTCCGAGGATCACGAGAAGATCCTGCAAAAGAAAGAAAACGGACAGTTTAAAGAGTGAAATTCATCTAAACAAGAGTTGAAAGTCGTACTCCATGTATTCGAGACTCGAAGTCCCCACAGTGGAGATTATGGAGACTTCTGGCCTTCACATTGCGGAGATAAATCGGCTGCAGGTTTCAAGAAAATAGTTCATGGCTCTTCTGCGAACCAAAACAAACACTTACACGTAATCAGCATATTAAATGTGGTGTTATTAATATTCTAAGCAAGCAGTACTAGTAACCAACGCTGCACTGGAAACGTTAAATTTTGTGTTATCAAAACTTGATGGGAAATTATAAGAAATACGGAATGTTCTTGTTTTAAAAATGCCAGGAGGAAGTAATTCTGTTACAGTGAAATTAATGCATTTTTTTATCGCTAGTGGGGTGGGACTAAGTTCCTTGTACTGCGGCCACTTCTGGCCTACTGTACCAGCCCCAGATGATAGGCGAGGGTGATTGTGGAGCAATTGGTGGAATGAAGATATCCAGGTGAAACCGAAGTACTCGGAGGAAACCTGCCCCAGCGCTACTTTGTCCACCACAAATCCTACTTGACCAGACCCGGGATCGAACACGGGCCGCCGCGGTGGGAAGCCAGCGACTAACCGCTTGAACTATGGCGCGGCCTAATTGAATGCTTCATAAAGAGATGTTGTATAGCATTTACGCAACCTGTCAAAAGATTGCAACTTCTGACATATTAACACTTTCACTAAGATAAAATTGACCTGGGGCTCGCATGGTCTATGATGGTGGAATAGATGCGACCTCCTTGTTTGATGATGAACGATCGACAACTTATTTAATCACAGTTCCTGTCCGTAATTACCCAAGAGACAAACGTCTATTTCTGTCATTCTCATAGGTAATATACAGGTCTGACAAAATTCTTGCGCTACATACATAAATACATATGAGCGACAACGTGACCTGTATCTGTTCAATCCACAAATTTTCTCGGGCTGAATGCATGAAATTTGTATGAAGGAACAATGGAACTTGAATGTAGGACAAACCTTCTTGGCAGGCGATTCCAATAGCTGTTAGTAAAGAATCACTCAATGATAATGATCTTGTTCCTTTTGAGTCGTCAATTCCACTTTCTGTTCTCTGGGTGATGTGTAGTGCGTAAGAAAAGACAACCATCGTTACGAGGTATGTGACCCACACAGCTCGACTGAAGGGGAGTGTGTATATGTTGGAGACGTCGGAGAGAGACGGCTTCAAGAATAAAAATGCAGCACTGTAACAAACAAAAGAAATGTCCCGAAAACATACAAACTTTAGAAAATGAAGACCGCTTACTTGCACCTCTTTAAGATGTACGCACATAGCGTCATCTACAAACAAATTCGTTATTTGTTTGTGAGTAATGGGGCATGCGGTAGCGTGGTTGGTTGAGGCCTGAAGGTCGTGGGTTCGAGTTCCGATGAGGTGAATTTTATCAATTTATCTAATACTTCCAGCCGCACTATGACCCTGGGGTCGACTCAGCGTTTAACAGAAATGAGTACTAAGGAATCTTCTTAGGGGGGTAAAAGGCAGTCGGCGCTTACGGCTAAAACGCGAAAATGACCTCTCACCTCCATCTAAAACTGAAGTTAAGAATGGGTGGAGATATAACTCCGTTCCTTTATGCTTTTTCATGGCGCGGTACATAACAAAACACGACTTTTTTTTTTAACTTTACCATATTTAATTGATATCCGAAAAGTCATTACTTTTCAATACGATTTTCCGATGTAAACTGGGACAAAACTCTGTAAATGAAAGTAAGTAACACCTTGTCGAATGTTGCAAAAACGATGTCCGTTCCTGCAGTGGAAGCCTTCTCTTACAAATTGCCCTGCACTAATTGTTTCATAAGTCAGTCACTGTAGCCGGGCGGTCTAAGTCATACACTGTCTTCGCCCGCTCGGAAGCCGGGATCGTGGGTTCGAATCCCATTCAGGTCATGGATGTTTGTTGTTTGTGTGTGTTTTTGTGCCCGCCTGCGATTTTCTGTTTGTGTACAGGTAGAGGCCTTGCGACGAGCTGATCACCCGACCAAGGAGTCCTACCGAATGTCTAAGATCTAGTAAACGGAAGTGAAACGGAGAGATTCATGGAGGTAGGCCAAGGCCCAAGTTTGGGTTGTAGCGCCAAAGGAAAAAATTATAAACCGGTTTTAATACTAGAACTTCCTGCCGCTGTACTCACTCATAGCGTACTGTCTCTCCAGCATAATCGAGGAAGTTCATACGTGCCGCCTTGAAGAAGAGGCCGAAAGAGGCCATTTCGATCTCCCCACGCTGCAACATGCCGATCACGCCACCATAACTACTGGTGTTGTCCACCGGGTAGCCCCACGTTTCCACTGGAGTTACATTCAACCTGTCGAATTTCAGATGATCCCAGAGAAGAGCGAAATAATTAGGATGATAAATAATACCGACCACGAAGATTTTAGCCAGTGACAGTTATAAATTTCCGTAATAAAATGCTACATGAGTTTCTTTGTGCCCTGTGTCTAGTTGCCAACCAGTTACACGCACAGTGCTTCTGAAAATTAACGAAATTTCATTGAAGAGGAGTTATTCACAAGGAATTTTTTCAAAGGGGAAGACGCATAAATGCCACGGCAATACAATTAAGCATAACGCGCTAATTTTTCGAAGATATCTTTCATAAGAAAGGTTTACTAAGGTCAACACCCCTCTCCACATTTGCCACATTTGGCTCAGGCTGATTTCTTTTATCTTTCTAAAGCTAAGAATGAGGATGAAACGGACATGATTTCGTATCATCCAAAACATCCCCAAAATGTGACCGACCTTCTCCATGAGATAAATTCGGAGACGTTTAAACGATTAAAAGAGAAGGGTACAGAATGTATCAAGTTCCATGGGAACTATCTTGATAGATTTCCACGACAAATTTTTCTCTTATTTTTAGGGGGCACGAGGTAGCGTAGCTGCTTGATGTATTATACTACAAGCCGGAAAGTCGCGGGTTCAGTTCCCGATGAGGTGGATTTTTTTTTGCAATTGACCTAATCTTTCCAGCCGCGTTATGACCCTGGGGTCGACTCAGCCTCTAACAGGAATGATTACCAGGAATCTTCCTGGGGGTAAAGGGCGGCCGGTGCATAAGACTGACAAATTTGACGCCATCTGTGAGCCGATTGTCTAGAGAAAATGTGGGATCCTCGACGTCTCATAATTCTATGGGCCTTCACGGCCTGCTGAAGTGGTAGTTTTAACTTTTTACCTTACCTTTTTAAGAATGTTTATCTAATCACTTTCAGACGCTGCGTGTATATTTTAATGCGGAAAGCGCTCTGTATGGAATTTGTTTTATCTTGTCTTGGCTTGTCTACAGATCTCTTACCAGCTAGGAGACCAAGTCAATCGAGGACTATCTCATCTGTCTACGCGAACCGTATTCATATTCTTGAAGCAACATTGCCCATAACGTATCGGAGAACAAAGACACACAAAGCACGTGTTATAGAAAGGACAACAAAATATTCTGAAATTCATTTCTTGGTCTGTTGGCCAATAGAGACACAAAAACTTATGCGCATTTCAGATAATGAGCTTTAAGTTTTATGCCCTTCTTTTCTCCAACTATTCACTGCACAATAACTGAAGTAACCTAATACTGAGGGCTTCAATCTGCGAGTTTTAGAGGAAATCATCATATTACGTACAAATACTTCATTCGTTCAAAGTTAGCAATTACAATTTTATACTTACAGTCCATATAGCTGTAAAGTATAACCCTTCGATCTGTTGAAACCCATTTATATACATAAATAAAACAATTATAACATAGGTATTTTAATGTTGAATTATACAGGTCACGAGTATTTTGGATTTTATTCGTCCCTTATGGCCTATTATGTTAGTAAGCAACGTTTAAAGAAATTACCTAAAATATTAATTTTTGTTAAAGAAAAATTAAAGTCTGCAATCTTACAACCTGAAGTTTAGCATCCTGGAGACATGTTCCGCAAGAACGTAGTGAAGTTTTGGCTGAGAATTGATGTGCTTGTAGCGCCAATCCAAGAAGTTCTCCCTCTCAGCCTGAGACATCTAGATAGAGAATTTCACGCATTTTATTCTCCTGAAAGCTAAACATTTTAATTAAATCAACTAAATATGTAAATATAATCTGCATCTGAGAAAAACAAATGCGTATGTGCAGTGATTGCGCACAACGACAAATTAAGAAGTGAAGAAAGCAGTCTTCTGGGATTTGGCACCGTGTATATGTGGTGTTAACCGACGTTTCGGAGGAACGTATCGCTTTTACCGATTCTCACGGTCTCTTCGCTTGCAGATTTCTTATATTTTTTCTTCTACCCTGAAGATGGAGGCGATACGTTCCTCCGAAACGTCGGTTAACACCACATATACACGGTGTCAAATCCCAGAAGACTGCTTTCTTCATAGTCACCGCCGTGAAAGCCTCAAATCTTACAAATAAAGAAGTGATAGAATGTCAATGACCGATGAAATGAGAATAGAATGTATTGCAGAAAGAAATACTTTGTAACTAAATAAGAAAAATTATAAACTGCTTTGGTAATGAGTGTATTGATAAATATTCCGACTGTGCAATTGAAAAGTCTGGATACGCCGAACACATATGAAAAACAAGAAATTCTGTTAAGAACTAACGACTATTTTCTTTTTATACGGCAAGCACCGCTTAGAAGACGGCGCTTCCATCAATTCTTCGTTGTGGCAGAAACGTGTTTCCTGATCCGTTGCCTAGTAACCATGGGAGGATACACAGACAGACCGACAGGCTCTCCTTCAGTCTGACACGGACAACAGAAAACGACGTCTCCAATATTTCTTCTGTTGTTGCGTGTATTCGTTGCAACTGAAACATGTTTACCAAGTCTTTGCCTAGCAACGATAGGCGGATACACATACACACAAACTGATGGGAGGGATTTATGAAGTACGCAGCTGAGATGGGCTCAGGTGCCATTATATACAAAGCAGATTTCATAAAGGTTGGTTCAGACATTCAAAAGCTGATGGGAGAATACACAGACACAGCCAGGACGGTGATAGCATAAACCTATATTTATATTTTCAAAATAACGAAAGTGGGATAAAAAGAGGAGAAACATATTTAGCGTCCTTGCCTGAAATAATCAGATTTTCAACTGTAGAAGTAAAGTAATTTTTCATTTTGGCAGATAGCAGAGAGGCAGTCCTTCCAAATTAATGATGAAATATTACTGCCAAATTGGATCAAATATCCGAAGCAGAGTGTATAAGAAACTCACAAATGAGACCAAAATGAATTAGCCCCACCCTGAACTGTTTGTTTTTTCGAAAATGATGATGATGGTGATACTTGCTACAGTTGCTGAGGGAAAAACTATTCCCCTATAATTGTCCCTCCTTGGACCAACTGGAAACGTTTCTGCTGGACTCCAGTCGCGAGGCAATGTGACGGTCAAGGGCTGACCCTTCACAAGTCTGTAGATGTCTTGCAGCAGGACAGGGTTAGATCCTGGACGGGCAACTGTCACGTGGCTGTCTAGGGGCAGGTTCAGTTGCTCCAAAGCGGTGATCAGCGGATCATCAGAAAAAGCAGGCCCATATCCATCATAATTTGACATGACTGTATCTGCAGACACTGGCAATAATAACCAGTGATACAGACTGCTGAAGTAATTCTTCTCGGAGGCCTAGAAACAGTAAAGGAGCAAACGTAAAGGGAACATGAAGGGAACATGAGAAGAGTTATCATGGAAATCTGGTGATGTAGGCGGCAGAAATGGACGTGACGTTGCCTTACCTCTGATATAAACTGAATGCTCTCTTCACACGCAACATCCACTATTATTGCCAAGTGGTAATATTCAGTCTTCAGCAATAAGGGCTTAAGGTCTTTTTTAGTCGGCAAGATTACTGATACAGGGACTCCTTCGTCAGATAGATCCTTGTAGAATAAAGCTGCATCTACACAAGGATAAAAAAATATAAAAATTGAAACACAGAAAATACTAACGCAAAACTTAATCGACTGCAGAACTAGAAGTTTAATCATCGCCGCTACAAAAAAAAACAACTGAATTTGAACCTTATCCGGTGTCAATAAATCCAGTTCCAATTATCTTTTTCCGTATATTTTTTTTTAATATTATCCTCCTATCTATATCTCGGAAACAAAATACACCCTTCAATTAGATTTCCCGACCAAAACTTTTGTTCCCATTTTTACTGTACCCTATTCATGTAGATGTTTCGCTTATTCCAGCATCTGTTCTGACAATAGCAATGGAGATGTAACATTATGAAGTTCAATGTTATTTAGGTTCTACATTCCTATGTAAGTTTATGTACTCTAAGGGATTACTTGTTCCCTTTATGCGGGTTGACAGCTCTTGTAGAGGCAGTTGCTTTGTGGGTGTATAAATGTTTAGCATTGCGACATAAATTCGCATTTTACGGATATTTGCAGAAATTCAGAACTCGAATTTTTACTGTACTTTTATACCTCTGTTTCTCAGTTGACTTGTACCTAAATGTCAAAGTCCGGGCTTACCTTTTTGGTGACACGAGACCACCACTACAGATGATATTCGTACATTGTTGCGAGACACAAATGATCTGGCTATTGCTATTCTGTCGTCTCGAATATGAGAACCGTGCATCCAGACCACGTAAGAAGTTAACAGTATCTGAAGTGTTAACCACATTTATGCAGATACAATTTAAAAAAAGAATTGAAATCTATATCAAATATACTAAGTAATATAATGTGAATATAATATGACTTAGTTACTTGTAACTATGAGGCACATATGTATGCCCCTTGAGATTTGTGATGATAAAATTAATATATTTAGTTATTAGATAATGACGAATGAAGAATTGAATTAATCGCCCAAAGCTGGGATATATTAGACTTTTTGGAAGCTGGCGTAACATGTTTAGTGTCTGTACCGGAACTAAAGCTTGGCTGCCAATGAGATACGTTGTTATACTGAGGCAGCACCCGTTGCAATTAACTTTAAAGCAAGGGATTGGTGAATTAGTGAAAGTGGAACTAACATTCTTCTGCCAGTGATGTGTTTCGTAGTGCCATTTAAGCGAGTTCGTGAACGGAACTGCATGACGGGTAAAGAGCACTTGCAGAGGACTGCCCATAATTTAGACAGTAAACACACGTACACACTTTCTTTGCCCCTTGTATAGGCAATCCCTTTAATGAATTATTTAAATATCAGTCTGATATAGAAGTCTTTCTAGAACTCACGTCTCATTTTAATCCGTCTCCCGTTCATTACTTTGTTGCTTTTGCTTCTAACTTAGAAAATATACCGAGAAGAGAGGATCAGAAATGCTAACTCAATTTTGCAGGATTGTGAATATTTTACAAATGCGTTTTCTGCTGTGTACATCTCTCGTTTCACTTGATGTTCACTCATTATAAATACAAATCTATTTGTAACATGTTTCATCAAGAGTAAAGGTAATAGCTTATATTCACTGACATATTTCATTGTTTACAACGCTAAAAATCTATGTATGTATGTATGTCTTTGTGTGTTGAGGAGAAATGCGTGTATAACTTTGGTAAACCCTCTTACGGAATGTTCCCTTTGAAGACTGAGAAGAATATGAGTTGATAGCATTAGGAAGACAGGTGGCGAATTTGATGGAACTCTCTTGGAGTCTATTGGCGTGGTTTCGTGGTATGGGAGACTTCACATTTTAAGCCTTCAATGGATATAACGTTTGGAGCTGAAGACTTGTCTTCTATGATATAACGATGCGTAGCCTGCTGAAAACCTACCGACGTTTCGAAGGAACACATTGCCTCCAAAACTCGATTTAATTCCAACTTATAAGGCGCCATATTCCAAAATTCAGAGCTTCCTATAACCATCGGAGTGAGAAACTTGCAGACCTGAAGTTCTTATATCGGAGAATGTTAAGAGTAAGTTCTTCTGGGACGTGACGCCTTCTACTCTGGTAGTTTAACTATCAACGTCCCAGAGGAACCAGCTGTCTCCACCTTCAGTGCAAAAGGAATTAAGACGAACAGATAAAGGCGATACACAACATGACTACGGCTGGAGATCCCAAAGCCTTGTCCTAACTATCTCCCCCCCCCCCTATAATAGGTCTACAGAAGAATTTTCATACTCAGTCTACATACATTCTGATTACCGAGAGACTGGGTACGAGGTTTGCTGTAGATCACAGGCCAAGTGTGGGCTGTAGTTTAGGAGAAGGGCACCTTAACCAAGTGCTTATGGCTTCAAGCCCCGAAGACACTTAAAAGGATCCACTACGATTTCGTCCAAACAGTCCTCAGAGGCCAAGCTCTTGATCGACTTGCTCTTTGCGGCCCTTGTCAACATCACAAGCTGTCATATGCCACACCCAGTTTAATACTGATGATTCTGACTGGCTTAATATGACGGAATAGACCAGGGAAATAAAGCCCAAAACTGGATCGCAAGGACCTCTTTCAAGTGTGCTACCTCATCAGTGAACCCCGCATAGTGAACGCTCTTCAATTCAGCACGGAACAGGAGTCGCCTTGCAACCTTAGGCAAAATATATTTTCTGACACTGAACGAATTGTATTTGGGATGTATCTTGAGCAGTAAATGTGTTTTACCCCTTGATTTCTTATATGATTACCTGTTTAGTTAGTACCATTTTCATCTCTTGAGAAACAGGGTATTTTAAACTTGTTTCCTCTCTGAAAGGCGAAATTTAGGCCTTCAGATGAAAATGCCATGCAAAAAACGAGATAAATATTTGCGCGTCGTTTGACTACTGTGAAATCAAAAAGGCAGAAAGCATAAGAATATTTCAATTTTGGAGTACGTGAAATGTACTTACATATTAGAAGGTGGATGGAAATATGGAGACCACAATAAAGAAATGCTACAGAGTGAAATGGAGAAGAGACAAAACGCTAAGAGGAGCCGATTGCAGAGGGCAGAGAAAGAGGAGCGAAGTAGAGGAGAGAAATAATAAATTAAATTAAATGGGGAGCAGGGGAAATGAAGAGGATGGGGGCACTAAAAGTTGCAGTGTTCGTGTCATTAATGGGACAGGGTTCACTGAGCCCGACGGCCTGGTTCGAGAACCAGATGATGAGAAATCCAAAGGAGGCTTCCTACAATATAATTCTTATAATGACATCAATAAAACTACTTTGTTTTAATAGAATTTTGTATTCGTACCAACTACATGTTTAGTTCTTATTTCTGGGTCATCTTCAGGTGGCATTCATGCTTCCCACAGTCTTTCGGGGAGTAGATGAGGAGTTTCCATCATCCCTCTTCAAGTCCATCTGGTGTTGCGGCCTGCGTGTCTGGATGTGGAAAGCTTTGCCTCAGGTCAGTGCTGTGCTCCGCCTCAGCTGAACCATTCGAATGACTGGAATGACTGCCGATGATGCCCCTTGATCTTGGTCACCATTGAAAGATTGTAGACCTGACCACACTCGTTAGGTTTCTGTATGGGCTACTCCCGGATTATGGCCATGCACACCAAAATGAAAAGCACGACCATCCAGTTGGGTGGGCGGCGCTGGAAGGTGGTTTACAGATAGGAGTTGGTGTGTGCAGGTTTCCCGTGGACCACATGGCCCAGCAAGTCATGAGGTTTCCCGTAGATATGAATGTTACAGATGGGAAAGCGACCGTGTCCTTCAGTGCTCACGGGAAATCGAATGTTCTGGTGGACATTATTCAGCTAGTCAGATAAACCTCCAACTTCTCTGGTCTGTGGAGCCATATCACGAAGATGTCGTCCATGTAACGACACCAGCAAAGGGAATTATGGGTTAACCTGCCGAGTATCAACTTCTCAAAGTCCTATGTGAAGAAACTGACAGCAACGGAGAAAGAAGAGAACTCGTAGCCCCTCTGTCAGTGTGTTCGTAGGACTAGCCGCCGAAACTACAGGAAAAGTTGTATATAGTCGTACTCTATTCGCTAGCTAACAGAGATTATTTACTTAAGCGATCTAAGTGCGAAACTACAACTTTGTTGGAAAAAATAGAGGTACGATATCAGCAATAAAAAATGTTAGTGCATCAATCTGCAAATTATATATACTGAGATTTCAGACACAATTTTTCATTTTTGTTGGATTTAAAGATAGTTGCTTAATAGCGTCTGTATTTCAGGGAGAGAAGTTTCTGGTAAAGCAGCTCGAGAATGAGAATACCTACAGCTAGAACCAAACCATAAGCGAAAACCAACAAAGCTGGGTAGAAATCCTGTAAGCGCACACTGTTAAATCCTTCAACGTTTCCGTGGCATTTTGGTTTCTGAACAATCCAGTATTTGTACTCTCTGTCGGATATCCCTGACTCCTTTAACCAACGGGCTCTGAAACATCACATAACGATCACTTTTAAATATAGTTGTGCTGTAAGAAGTTGTTAGTCATGTTTAATTAACTGAATTAGGCACAGCTCCAAGAAGAAATATTTGGAAGTGGATGTGAAAGTGAAACTCCACCCATTCATATCCTCGGCATTAGATGCAAGAGAATAACTAGCTCAATGCTCCAATAGTGTTAACCTCCCCCCATTCTGTCGTATCATACTCGACGCTGTGTGATTTAATTGATTGATCGATAGCTTTGAAATAACTGAATAACATAAAAGAAACAGAATTTGTACCGGAAACATGTAATTAATTCATCATCAGTTCAACCATGTCGAATCTACTCCAAAGATTATGTAATATTAATGATAAAGATGACAAAGAAACTGACGATTTGGACAGATGTTAACGAAGAAAGCAGTCTTCTGGGATGTGGTGCCGTGTAGATGTGTTAACCGACGTTTCGGAGGAAAATATCGCCCCCATCTTCTTTTTTCTTCTACCCTGAATATGGAGGCAATACGTTCCTCCGAAATGTCGATTAACAGAACATCTACACACGCCACATCACAGAAGACTACATTCTTCATAGTCACCGCCGTGAAAACCTCAAATATTACAGGTGTTAACAAGTTTCTTACAGTTTATATTCTAACAATTTACCAGAGAGTAGGCAAACCAGAAATTGCTTAATGCCGCAGGATATACATTTACAGTCTACTATGCTAATCTGTTAATATCTTCATGCAATGCGCTGAGTCCTCAAGACGAACTTCTATCAGTGTGCCCATGTCGGTATATCTGTTACTGGTGAAGCTGGGAAAGTATTTCCTGAAGAAGCAGAGATTAAGGATGTATTTTGAATTCACCTGATTGTAGATATGCTGCTGTAGTGAAGATAAGAACAAAATTTGGGTTCCACGGAAGACGGGGAGCTTACTGTCTAGATGAGCACTCTGTTCCTTGATGAAGGTGAAGAAGTATTGCCTACCACGTAGGAGCATCCTTGAATCAAAATTTTTATATCTGTATCCTATTCAGTATCAGTGACAGAACAAATCAACTTACCGTTGTCTGATGTGTTCTTTAAATGGGCTACCCTTTTTCACAGCCAGAGCTAACTGAACTGTTGAGAACATTTTGATGTCTTTGAGTCTGCATTTCTCATACTCGTCGTAAGTCTCGCTGATGATTTTGAAAGCATCGGCGTCGCCGTGATAGGCGTACAGTCCCTTTCGCATCTTCGCAACACCGACCGCTGACTTGGTGAAAGCTTCATGGTGTGGCTGGGTGAAGAGATGCTTGAAGTAGAGATCCTTGATTTCAGTGTCTGTTGTTTCCTGTGAAAGTAAGAATTATATTTCTTAATTATAATTAAAATGGTTGTTTCTGATGGATTCTAAGAGACGTAATTTGAAGAAATAGTTCACAAATCATTTTGATTTTACATGCAAAATTCGTAGAGTGACATGTTACAGATATATCTATAAATTCTCTGTGAGATGTTCTTGGGTACTTGATTACATAATCTGTGTTAAGTGTAAATATATTAATCTGTAGTTACTTCCCACTCTTTCATCTGAGCTCACATAGGAAGACACAGTTTCGATCCTAAACAAATCAAAACGTAAATCTGTAATTTTATTCATGTTAAGCTTTGGCATTTTAGTATAAAAATAATAAGATAGAATAAAACACTGTCTCTGGAAGGAGAAAATTAATGCTCTTGGTCATTTTCAACTTATTCAGCAAGTACAATATATAATATATATTTTTTTTTCATTGGTACTACAGCCCTCATTTGGGCCTAGGCCTACCTCCATGAAACTCTCCGTTTCACTTCGATTTACTAGATCTTAGACATACGTTAGGACTACTTGGGCGGGTGATCAGCTCTTCGCAAAGTCTATGATATATATATATAATATAATATGGTATCGCGGGACCAATTACCTCTAAATATTGAACATTTACTTTCACTCACATTGTGGTATTCATATCTCTAGCTATAACTGCTTGACTCGAAATTTTTCTCTTATACGGATAAGATTTGTATAAATCGCCATTCAGATAGGCAGTAGGACGCCTTAAATATAGCCTCAGACCACAGAAGGCCTTACGGACAAAGAGAAATATAAGCCATTCCGTTGTTCGAGCCATCCAACCGGTGCGGCCACAGGAGCAAGCTCACGTAACCTCACTCTCTCTAATATTTACAACAACTGAAGGATCCGACAGAGATTAATTCAGTGGGGAATTACCGAACAGGGTGGTGCAGAAGTAACGCTCTAAATTTGTAACTGGAAATATTCGGTTTCAATGTCGATCTAAACATCGACATTCTGACTGAGGTTCTTCGTTTTTTCTCAGTCCCTCCAAGCAAACTCCGGGATAGTACCTCGATCAGGCGGCAACTGTTGTCTTCTAAATTCGTTTCAATTAATAATCCATCATTCAACCTAACATTCAACAGTAGATAGCACAGAAAATGACATCGTTGTAAAATAAAATACAAATGGGGAGTGACGTCACATAACGAAGAACGTCATCATTTGTCCAGTATTTAACTTGGTATTATCAGCAGTGGAATAAATGAGGTTATGGTGGACCGTAAGTATAATTCCGTCTGGGAAGACAAATGCACGAGTATTTTGATGTGAAAGTCTTGTGACAAACTACAACTTCGAAGAACTCATTAGGAGATGGGAAAGTACTATTAAACTCTATCTTAAAAGAAAAGTTAAGATTCGACTCTAAGCTCCTCCTACTCACGATCTAGTCACAACATACACAATTGAAAAGAAAGAAGAATATTTTCAAGGAGCTTTTCTAAATAAGAATTTTTCTTGAAGCTAACTATAGAGAGACTACTGTTGGCAGATCTACCCACCGGCAGAATTAGTGCTACCTACAAGCAGCGCATGCGCACTCGTATACTCACCCAGAAGTGTTAGAATTTTATCTTATGCACAGACAAAAGGAGTGTCTCGAGGCTGTAGCCTATAGTTTGAATTCATTGCATCATCGTTAAATAAACTGAAGTATTGATCATCACCGAATTTAAGGACAGGTTTTGATACAATTACTTGTATTCAACTTTCGGATTCTACTATCAGAGATTTACTGTGTTTCTTTGATAAGTCAGTTAGTTGTTTAGTTAGATAATACTGCAAAAGGGATTGGAGGTGGATGAAACTTGTTCAGTACGTAATGCAAAAATGAGCTTTGGTATTAACAATGCTCAACCTTCGGATTCATCTTCCAGAAAGTTATTTACACGACTGGTAGCTTGGTTATTTCGTTTGTTGGTTGTTTCTTTCGTTAGTTACAGAGGCGTATGAGAAGAAGTAGCAGAACTTACATTAACATAGTTCATGTTGGTGACTACATCGTTCATAGAAAGTGTGTACGGACTGTTCATGAGGTCCTTTAAACTGTTAATTGCTGTGCTGGTTGTCTGCAATAAGGACACTATGATGGCCGAGTAGGATGTAGTGAGGAACAGAGACAACATCAGCAGAGACAGGAATATAATCCTAGAAGACAGACTCCGAGGATCACGAGTAGATCCTGCAAGAGAAATAAAATGGATATTCTAATGAGCCAATCACTTCTAAAAATGTACAAAATGAATCCGTTCTTTGAGATTCTGTGTAGGACTCCTCTGCGTTGATGCAGATGTCCGTTTATTGGAGAAACAAATTTATTTTGTAAAGATAGCAGCACTGCAGATATTACAGTGCTCAGCCAGACAGTATCCGCCCTTGAAGTTCCTTAAATGTTAATAACATCGGGGCACGCGGTAGCGTAGTTTGTTGAGGCACTATGCTACAAACCGGAAGGTCGCGCGATCGAGTCCCAATGAGGTCAGTAGATTTTTCAATTGACTTAACTCTTACAGCCCCACTATGGCCCCGGGGTTGACTCAGCCTCAAACAGAAATGAGTACCATGAATTTTTCTGGGGAGTAGAGGGCGGCCGGCGCCTAAGCCTGGCAAATTTACCACCATCTATAAGCCGACTTTCTGGAAGATGTGGGAGACTCAACATCTCACATCCCTACGGGCCTTCACGGTCTGTCACAGGTACAGTTTTATCTTTACGTTTTATTAACAACTTCGAAATAAGTGTCAGAGTACTGAGATGTGTATTTCGTGTCATGCAACGTCATTTTTTTTATGACTGATCATCTTTGAGAAATGACATAAACCCAATTCATGTTTCATAAGGAAGCAAGGACCATAGTTGGTCGATACGCACCAAAATTGGATGTTCACCCTAAAATTACGATGTAGAGTCCCAGTGCAAAATGAGAGCAAATTTCGACATGTACTTTCGGAAATGAAGCTTAGAGACAGACAACGGGTAGAAAGACGCCCTCTCGCTATTATGTGATATATTTGTGCATATTATAAAGGAATGCATGACTATATTTAACAAATTCGATCCCTACTGCGAAGCAAATACACCCAACATCCGTTAACAGGAATGAGGTAACCATAATCATTTAGGAAAGTAGTTGTAGTATAATAAAATTCAGTAAGCAGTTGAAGTCCATTTGTCATACAAGTTCTGAGGATACTCGCATTTAATATGATTTCTTGTTCGAGCCTCAGTCAGAAGCAAGCTATTCTGACTGCGATTTTTCGTGATTTTCCTAAGAAGATTAAGAAAATGGTGAGATATCTGAAACTGGGCAGGATTTCAAATTCAAAATTCGTATAATATAGTACATCCATTCGACGTTAGGTAATTTCTGCAGCTGAAATAGAAATGAATGTTAACACAACGGGAATTTTTCCGTGATACTGAAGGTCATCCGGGATAGCGTAGCCGGTAAAGCGACAAGCTACGGGTTGGATGACCGAGGGGTCGAGTTCGAGTCCTGGTAGAGTAAAGAATTTTCTGTTCTCCACGTCGTCCAGACGGGCTCTGGGGCTCTCACAGCCTCCTTTCCAATGGGTACCGGGGGCTCTTCCCACAGGGGTAAAGTGACAGGGGCGTGAAGCTGACCACTCACTTCCAACTAGTGCCGAGGTAAAGAAAATGCGGATGTTCATCCACTCCCCCATACACTTTCATGTCGTAGTGTTTAATTAGTTAAGCTCAGGAACAACTTTACCTTTTACTGAATAAGAAAACCACGTCGGAGGACAAACCTTCTTGGCAGATGATTCCAATAATAGTGAAGAAGGAGTCAGTCAATGACAATGGACGTGTTGCTTCTGAGTCGTCAATTCCACTTTCTGTTCTCTGAGTAACGTAGAGGGCATAAGAAAAGACAATCATCGTTACGAGGTATGTGACCCACACAGCACGACTGAAGGGGAGTGTATATATGTTGGAGACGTCGGAGAGAGACGGCTTCAGGAACAGAAATGTGCCCCTGTAACAGACGTTCCCAGAATGTCCCAAATATACATGTAGCATCAGGCTCGAATTTTAATCAGGCGCTTAGTAAATAAATTAATAAGAAATTGTATGCGAAAGTTGTTACTTTTTCCTGGTATTAATATGATTGTATTAGCACTATTTGACGCTGGATCTTGTATACTTCATGTGGGTACAAATTTGAAGGACATTTATAGAACGTGAATTAAATTAATATGGTAATTACGCAAAGAAATTTTGGTGTAATGACAACTGATGTCATCGTAATTTTGCAAGTACAATATACTATGAGTATGTGTATAAAGACATATTACGAATACTATTGGCTTTATGATGCTTGACGTTCTCGCGGCGGTGAATATTAAGATTAAATTCTTATGGAATCTGACGCTGTATAATTCTGAAAATAGATGATAACATTTCGGAGGAACCTTCTGCCTTACAGATGATGGTAGCAGGTTCATTCGAAGAGCTGGTATGTTTCTACCAAACTATACGGCATCACATCTCACAAGAAATTAATCTTAATCTCTGAACGAAACATCAATGATATTAAAACAGACATGGTATAAGCTTTTCAAACTCTAAAATATAACTACATAGTGAAATGGATTTTTAATACTTATTCAGTAATCGATTAACTAGTTGACTTAATGAACAACTTACTAGTCAACGACAAATCAGCAACTAACTTCATAATACAGAGTAATCTTTGAACAAATGATGGCCAAATAATTCCCCAAACCCATACGATCATTATCCTGCTCACATGAGTCATATTTTGGAATTGCCGCTGCCAGAATCATCCTTCAAAACAATTTATTTCTCACGCTAAAATATTTGCTTCTTATTAATTGTTATCTCATGGCTGCATTTCAAATGCAGACTCTGTGAAATTTCATCTGTGACTGGTAGGGATAATTAATGGTGAGCATTTGGAAGGACTTTCCTATAGAGGTGTTATTCTGCCATTGTTCTGGTATACAACACCCGCTTGAATTGCACTCACTCATAGCACACTGTCTCCCCTGCGTAATCAACAATATCCATACGCGCTGTCTTGTGCAAAAGGCCGACAGAGGACACCTCAATCTCTCCGCGTTGTAGCAAACCAATCACTCCATCGTAATTCGTCGTGTTGTTGACTGGGAATCCCCACGAATTCATCGGGGTCACGTTCGTTCTGGAAATTAATATGTTAAGCGTAAGAAGGTAAGAGTATAAGAAAGTAGTTCAGTTTGTAACACATGAGTTCGTACATTTTCCAAATTAGTGCCTTTCGTTTTGTTACAAGTTTATCTCAGTGGCCTTTATATGCATTTTATTAAGATAAGACATAAATTTGGCGGCGTGAATAAACACTGCATCACGTGATGGGGAGTGAATATACCTACACTTACACGCATATTAACCTGGGCACTGGGTGAAGCTGAATTATATTTTCAGACACAACTGTTTTACTGCAAAGAAATTTTCGTTAATGTAAACTAACGACAACAGAATTACTCAACTGTGAAAAATCAAAAAATTACTTTGTTTCTTTAGACCTAATATGTTATACAAATTGAACACCAGCAGGTCAAAATTCCTTTATTGTACGGAAGTTAATTGAAATTTGTTAGTTTCGAAGGACGCAACGACAGACATACAGACACCATCCATGTATTATATCTTTTTTTTTTTACTTTGTGTAAATAATATACATAAATGAAAGTTGATATGTTTATGTCAGCAGCATAATTATGCTGTTCGTACGGTTCTCAATAGTGCTTTTTAAATTTCTTACAATTGGAAGAATGGAAGTGAAAGTAAATTTATCCCCTTGTCAAAGTAAGGGACAATGCAGACACCGTGAGGATGTGGAAGTGAGGAGTCATGCATGCTATGCCTTGACACTAGGCTTGTGAGTGTTCATTTTCACACTCCGGCTGCTTTACTCCTTTCCCCGTAAGAGAAGTTCTCTGTTACAAAGAATGATGACTAGAGCGCTAACGCTTCTGGTTCATATCCGGAGGTTCCTTGCTAGGACACTGAAGATCTTGAGAGGTTGGCACGGTTTTCTTCAGTTTCACTAAAAAAATGTCGAGATAGCACCTAAAATAGGCTAAGATATCTTCCTTCCGTTGTTTTCGAATTATTTTTTTTATTAAGCATTCTCCCATTCGACCCTGTATGGGCCCTAGCATGATCTAGAGACGGTGTAGTTAAATAAACTGTATAAGAAGAAACTAGATACTGCAGCATAGGAGGCCGGATATGTCCCAGAACTGTTTTCGTAGCAATACCCATACTAAGAATTGAATACCGGTCACTTCGAAAGTATTTTATTGGGCTTACTGATTTATCCCGGCTCATAGAATACAATAAATAAATGCGGCGCCATCATCGCCTTCACGGATGTCTGGGAAAGTTCCAGCATTCGGAGTTTCGGTGTCATGTGATTTATTTAGAAGCGATATAAAGCAATGTGCATTCCGATGCGTCAAGATGGCTGAATCAGAGAAGCAAATGGCCGCAGGCAGGGCGGCCGGGAGCGCTTCCGGCTGAAGAGAGTCAGGCTGGCTGCGCTGCCCATTCAATTGGCATTTCAAATGGATTGAACTGGCCGTAGCGTAAATATGGTCACTCACCTCCACCTAGCTCTCATGTATGGACTTCTTCCAGATCCCCCCCCCCACATTGCTTCTTTATGGAATGGCGATTTGTCACGGGGACAACTTCACTCTGGGTCACTGTACAAAGCCGTAATTTACTTATATTTCAATATTACCTGAAATTCAGCATTCTGGAGACATGTTCCACAAGAACATAATGGAATTTGGTCAGAGAGTTGATGTGCTTATAGCGCCAGTCTAGGAAGTTCTCCCATGTATCTCCTATAACCTGAAGAGGTTAACAAAATGGAGTTTATCTGAACCTGAGCAATGAACTTAGCAACATATGCATAGGTACTGCATGCATGCAATAACATAAACAAAAGGATCATGTAAATATACGTACATAAAAACAATATTCACATTCAGTATCAGAACACTGGCCAATATTATCCTAGAATGACTATGATAGAATTCGGGTCGGTCTCAACGACCTAACAGTTTAAGGTAAGCCAGGACTGGGGAGTAAAGCGCGGCCGGGGCGTACGGCTGACAACCTTACCGCCATCTTTCAGCCGATTGTCTAGATAATGTGGGACCCTAAACGTCTCACAAACCTATGGGCCTTCACGGCCTGGTACAGGGATAGCTTTACTTCTTTTTTACTTACTGCTGTATGTATGTACTTTTTTTAACAAAGAGATTCAACAGTAAGAATATTTCTCACTCAATAAGGCATTGCTCATTTGGTCAAGAAATCAATTTGCAAAATCCCATCACTGACCTCAGCTTATCTATTTAAACCCAGTTCGCAATNATTACATTTTCAGACACAACTGTTTTACTGCAAAGAAAATTTCGTTAATGTAAACTAACGACAACAGAATTACTCAACTGTGAAAAATCAAAACATTACTTTGTTTCTTTAGACCTAATATGTTATACAAATTGAACACTAGCAGGTCAAAATTCCTTTACNTTGATCATCCGATCATATTTACAGTATTCGAGTCCCTCAGCTCTTTTTTGACGTGCTACGTTTCGAGACTAGAATTATATTTGCAGTCAGGAGACTAATTAGATTAATATCTATGTTTGGTATAACGTTTCAGTTCTGGAGTGAGTCGGGCGAGAAAATTGTATTGCACGCATAAGAAAAACAAGAAATTCATGAGCTTGTTTAGAAATCTAACAAAAATATCCCGCATCTGAAGCAAATGAGTTTATGGGAATGTGATATTCAAATGGATCTTCGGGAACGATGCTGTAATTTTGGAGGTAATACGATGGGGTACCCAAAAGAAACCGAACTAATTTTTTTTTGTTGGCAGAGCTTTTGTAGTACCGCGTTTTGCCGCTATGAGCGCATAGAGCTAACATTCCTGAGTCGATAAGCCGACTACCGTTGCTTCAGAAGGTAAGGACTAGTTTCGGCAGAGTTTATAGTGACAACTGTTTTGTGTGATCGTCGTTTTTGCAATGGCCCGCAAANAGCAATACCCATACTAAGAATTGAATACCGGTCACTTCGAAAGTATTTTATTGGGCTTACTGATTTATCCCGGCTCATAGAATACAATAAATAAATGCGGCGCCATCATCGCCTTCATGGATGTCTGGGAATGTTCCAGCATTCGGAGTTTCGGTGTCATGTGATTTATTTAGAAGTGATATAAAGCACTGTGCATTCCGATGCGTCAAGATGGCTGAATCAGAGAAGCAAATGGCCGCAGGCAGGGCGGCCGGGAGCGCTTCCGGCTGAAGAGAGTCAGGCTGGCTGCGCTGCCCATTCAATTGGCATTTCAAATGGATTGAACTGGCCGTAGTGTAAATATGGTCACTCACCTCCACCTAGCTCTCATGTATGGACTTCTTCCAGATCCCCCCCCTTATTGCTTCTTTATGGAATGGCGATTTGTTACGGGGTCAACTTCACTCTGGGTCACTGCACAAAGCCGTAATTTACTAATATTTCAATATTACCTGAAATTCAGCATTCTGGAGACATGTTCCACAAGAACATAATGGAATTTTGTCAGAGAGTTGATGTGCTTATAGCGCCAGTCTAGGAAGTTCTCCCATGTATCTCCTATAACCTGAAGAGATTAACAAAATGGAGTTCATCTGAACCTGAACAATGAACTTATCAACATATGCATAGGTACTGCATGCATGCAATAACATAATCAGAGCCTAAACAAAATGATCATGTATATATACGTATATAAAAGCAATATTCACATTCAGTATCAGAACACTGGCCAATATTATCCTAGAATGACTATGATAGAATTCGGGTCGGTCTCAACGACCTAACAGTTTAAGGTAAGCCAGGACTGGGGAGTAAAGCGCGGCCGGGGCGTACGGCTGACAACCTTACCGCCATCTTTCAGCCGATTGTCTAGATAATGTGGGACCCTAAACGTCTCACAAACCTATGGGCCTTCACGGCCTGGTACAGGGATAGCTTTACTTCTTTTTTACTTACTGCAGTATGTATGTACTTTTTTTAACAAAGAGATTCAACAGTAAGAATATTTCTCACTCAAAAAGGCATTGCTCATTTGGTCAAGAAATCAATTTGCAAAATCCCATCACTGACCTCAGCTTATCTATTTAAACCCAGTTCGCAATACAGTAGCCCACTTTTCTAAAATAGTTCAATATTTGGTGTCTCACAGAATCCTATCTCTCTCAGTCATTCCTTCTGTTAGACTTGGGCACCAAAATTTTCTCTCAAGTCCCGCCTGTCATTCTTGATTTAGTTATTCTAGTGATGTCAGATCAAGATCACTAATTTTAAGCTTTTCCTTGTGTAATTTCCTTCATTCTTCTATACCTTCAAGCGCCAAGTACCACGTCCCAAGTCGATTGGTGTAGCCGCAACTCTTTCTTTGCAATCGAAACGATAACTCGTCCGAAATTTTGCAGAATTTTCAGTTGTTCTGTGCGAGAATTCTGTTGATTTTCTCAGCCACATAAGTCAAATAGTTGTAAAATTCCTTTAAATATGCCGTACTTTTTTCTTCCAAATCCCAAGCCACCCAACATTTGGGGCTATATCTACATGTTATTCGACACTTACAACAAATTCTGTGACAACATAGTCGTGAAATAGGTAAATACATGTAACTACACTCACCACAGTTGCTGTGGGAAACACAAGACCGCCATAATTGTCCCTCCGTGGGCCACTTGGAAACCGGAGCCCTGGAGTCCAGTCGCGGGGCAGTGTGAATATGAGAGGCAATTCGCGTTTAATCCTATAAACTTCCTGCAGCAGAATCGTGTTCACGGCAGGTCCTGGCCGTGCTACAGTGACCTGACTCTCTACAGAGAGGTCCAGTTGTCCTAAAGCGGAGATGAGTCGATCCTCTTGTGATATCATCAGTGAATTCTCGTTGGATAAGAGCAGGTTATCATCAGGTGGTGTGGTATGCACACGACTCTTGGGTGCTTCTGGGGCTTCTGTATTTAATTCTTGAGTTACTCTAGGATTACCAGTGGTTGTTAAGAGAAGCCAGTAGTGAAGTCTGCTATATAACTTCNCCCATGTATCTCCTATAACCTGAAGAGATAAACAAAATGGAGTTCATCTGAACCTGAACAATGAACTTATCAACATATGCATAGGTACTGCATGCATGCAATAACATAATCAGAGCCTAAACAAAATGATCATGTATATATACGTATATAAAAGNCTTATAATCTTTGAAGAGTAATTACTTCAGGTCACTATATACCACATTGTCTACAGTAACGTATATTTTTACTAGGGGCAACACAAGTAGTCAAGCAAAATGTTCTCAGTTTCCTATTTACCCATTTCCTTCTCACAATGTGCCCTTAACTGACCCAGCAACTGTTTCCGTATGTACGATTTCCTTACCTCTGCCAGGAATCTGGGGCTGTCTTCGCATTCCCAATCAAGTACTACAGCCAGCTTATGGTTTCCAACGCCAAGCAACTCAGAAATTCGCACAGCGTCATATGCCTTCTGAACCTTTATTCGCACTCCTTTTTCTGAGAAGAATTTCATGACCGTTATATCGTCTGGGTTAGAAAAATAAAGTAACATATTAAAACACTTCACGGAATACTTAATATCCACTTATTTCAAAATATTACACAAACTGCCGAACTCATTCTTAGTTTCTTAACTATATACAAAACATAATATTGCAAACGCAGTAAAACGTAGATTATTGTTTAAAAAAACCATATGGTTTCATATACCTCATATATATATTGTAATATGTTTCTGGTGTATGAGGTCATCACATTTGTTGCACACACTGCACCAACTGCCCAACAAGTGCAGAGGAGGCAACAGTACAGTATCATTCTTACGATGTTCAACAACGCTCTTTGAGCTGCAGAATGAGATGGGAAAATGATCGTGAGTGATGAGTAGGTAAGGATTCGGTAGGAGGCGATATTTATCTCTATCAATGTATCAGTTATCTGTTGTTCGAATTCTGTTACTTGTTACGTCATATTCTCCACTCGCACTTTCTTCTTCAGGACGGCTCTAATTTTTGGTAACCGACTTCTGATGGATGATGTAAATTAACAGGTCTGAAACGAGAAGCTAACAACCTCACCGCCATCTGTGAGCCGACTGCCTAGAAAATGTGGGAGCCTCGACGTCTCACAGCGTTATGGGCCTCCACGGCCTGTTACAGGAATAGTTTTACCTTTTTACATTCTGCTACACGAACCTCAGCCGTCCTCATCCTGCGGTGTGCATATTGAATTTGTACCTACATCTGACACACAGTACTGTCCCAACATGTGTCTGTGCACACTGAGAGATGTCATGCACACCCGTAAACACATTACCTGACTGCATCCGGAACGCAGTGTTATCCCTACATCATCTGATGAGGTCATGAAGTATCGAAAGAGAGAGCAGATTTCATTGACTTGAATTGATGGGGGCATGGAGGAAGTCGTCACGGCTTGTTTGAACTAATTAATGAAGTTCCTGACAAAAAAGGGAAAATTTTATATCCCAGAACCAATTCTCTATTGCTAAGGAAGCCCCCCTTAACAAGTCAAAGTCAAAGTCACATTGCGACTGACGGTCAGTCAGTCAGTAAGTCTTGGTGTCGAACCCCATTTGGGGCTCATGACCAGATATTAATTATTACCGTTTGACATTTACGGTCTTGTTTCTGTGGGGCGCCCTCTCTGACGAGAAGATGGGTATGCTGGCCCTTGCCAGGGCATTCTTTCTCGGGTC